ACCCCTATGAATGAAAACTTTTGCGAAGGCATAAGCCTCACGTCGTTGCTATTGCCAGGTTGCAGTTTTTGTTTCTTATGCTTTTTATATACTCTCACATTATATTATCACTAACTCCAATAAATAATCTGATGGGAATCCTCCCAGGAGAGTGAGTCATGAGACTGGTACGGACTGCTATGTAAGGCAATGTAGGGGGAAATGTCTTGTTCCAATTATGTGGAGCTGGGGCTGATAGGCTGATGAATATTGTAGCTGACGGTGGCTTTGAAACAACACAGCTCATCTTGGAAATCATCAGCCCCTCGAGAAAGCTGTAGTTCAGATTTTATTCATCCAAAGCCGCCCAAAGGTTAATCAGTTGTACAAAGGGTGAATCATACTCTAAAAATGAACACGCCGACCAAGCTTACAATCTTCCTGGAGTCCTGATTTACTGGGAGACTCGTCTGAATGAGTATATTCACAGGATTGTACGCCACCGGCAAGACTTTGAAAACGTAAAGTTTGCAACACCCATGTGAAGCTATGGACTGCTCCGGGATTATTTCAACTCACATCTTTCAGAATCGAAGTGCTGATGAATAAAGTCGGTACAAAGTGAGCTTGGTGATACCACTTGCTTTCATCATATTTTTAACAATCAATGGCGAAAACTTACTTCAGGTTAATTACTTTAGGCCTACGCGGAATCGCCGAGACGCCCATTATGAAAAGCTGAATTTGATTGCACGACAGATTAACTTTATACCATGACATTGGGTTAACGCGTACACACCTCTAGTACAGGCTCTCTTATACGCCTTCCAGTTACACCTCATAGATCTGTCTGTATGCGATCCCACTCCTTTCCTCCTGGGCGACCTTCGAACCAATTGACCAACTCCAAAGGTGCAGAGATTCCAAACTGGGCCATCCATGCATGATAATCTGCAGCATGCTACAATACTATGCCCACCCTCACATCGATGTCTATTACATCCGAGCGTTTAACAAGTATATTGAAACCTACTGACTGGGCCCCTCTAGCGTTCCAAGGGCCAGATCTTCCTTGGATCGCGGTCACACCTAGTTTGTGTGATGGCAGTAGCTAACTATTCACCAGAAACTTATTATAAAGGAAAATCTGCTCAACTTTCGGTTCCAGCTAGTATTCTAGTCCCCAGTCCCTTCTGCCGCCAGCATGTCTTCTAAACAATGACTACTACGCTAAGTATTCTACCGTTACAGCTAAAGGCCAAGCTTATGTATGTAGCCAACTGGGGTGCTATAGAGCTACCTCAGTAAATAACAAAGCGAGTCCAGTTTCCAGATGTTTGCTCTTAGGATGGACTTCGAATACACTCACTTCCTTTAAAGAATTAAATTTCCTTCCGATTCTGCTCTTATGAAAACTTCGATTGAGAAACCCATTTCAGTTTTTTCGACTTTGAGGTTTTTATGATCCTTCTTTCAGTGTGTCCATTTGTAACTGTGCTGAAAAACGATGTTTCCGAACAATTAGTATCTCCTTAGCAACACGTTTCCCTTTCAAATCATTGTTATAAAACATGTCATTAGTTTACTTTTTAGAGTCGGCCCCCCCAGAAGATATAATCCTGAAATAATGGGTGCATGTAGGTGCTACGTCATAAATCTTCCATGTGATGCCTCGAGACTTCTTCTGAGGATTCAGATTGTTAGTCAAACATAGTTAATGACTCCGACCTATACGGTAGAATAAGTCCTATGCGTCGTATGCCTCAGTATGCCTCAGAGGTCTGTGACAGAGGCTACGCCTTCGCAGCATATTATGGGCTTCTTTGCAGCCTTACTAAAAGACTGCTCATTGCCACTCCACACACAATCTCCCTGCAAAGGATTGCTGTGGAGTGGAGATTATTTATGGATGGAGGGCTCGGCTGACCTAAGGTGGGTTCAATCCCGGCAGTGTTGTGGTCAGAGAGCCTTCACAAATTCCATTCTCTCTTCTCGTTCGCAGTATATACCTGAGCGTTCTCCTTCCTGCTGTTCCAGCTAATGCCGTTCTGTATTTCCCATACGTGCGTGGATTCAGGGTAATGCCGTCCCGTTGAAATTCCTGATTAATGCCACAGTTCTGTTCTTTTTATAATCGTTTGACTCATATCATAATCGTCCAGTGGAGCCGTTCGAGTGTTTTAATGGTGAATTTCAGGTGACTACTAAACAGTAAAGTTCCACTAAGCTCATTACAAACGCTTATGGACGTTCCGGATTTTAGAGGTAACTTTTTCTTTTTGAAAATTTGTGGACTTGGCTTCGAAATGCCTGGACCTCTTTCGATTCGTTACATGAAATCTCTCAGATTAATGGCATTAATCTTTTGTAAATGATCGCATCACTCCAATTCTTGTTCAGATGGTAGGACCAGGACGACTCTTGCGTTCAGACAGCCCAGGCGACATATGGGGAAGGGGGTGGCACGTACCCTCGTCGTCGTCATTTCTAAAATTTGGCACGACACGTGGAAGTCTGGGTTATCCTTATTAGATCCGGAATTTGTACGAAGGAATGGGAATCTTCCTATATAGTACTTAGATACCCATTCCTTCATACAAGTAGGCAACTGCCAGGTCTAGACATAACCAATATGGTATTAATGGGTACCTACTGTATGGCCAAGCATAACTCTTTCGGTCCCAAGCTTCTTACCCTCCTTATCCTAAAGGTTCTCATCCGCTTCTCATGCTACCCATGCTTTCTCATTGCTCATCCGCCGAAGTTTCTAGGGATGGGGCAGGACAGTAGACAAGCTTTCCAGTTCTAGCTCTATCAAGTTCCAACCAATACTGAGGAGAACCGTTATCCTCGTCGTTCTTATTTGGAACTTCAAGTGTTCCGCTGAACCTAAAATGAATTTCATAATTTATTTCAGGTCGAACTCCACTTAGCGATGTGATTGTTGGTTCCTTTATGATGGTACTGTCTATAGCATGTGGATGTGCCTACTCAATCATTTTAGTGGTTAGTTCCTCTGAATTGGCATTTCATTAATAATCAGTGAAGGAAAAAACTAATGATGTGGCTTGTCTTACTAAGGAACATTTGTACTTTAAGGCCAACTACTTACGTAAGGAAAATTTATTGTCAGCGGTTGTCCTAATTGAAGCAAAATGATTGATGTTATTAACCATTGGCCAAACCAATGTGACTTAGTTAACGGCTACATTTTAAAAGGTAAAGGACACAGCTTGAGAAGGGATTTTTCAACGTGATGGAAGAAAGTAACAAGTAATGAAGGGATCATCCAGGAGCTTCCCTGGAGTTTTGTGGAGAGCAAGCAAAATCTTGATCCAAGTGGGTAGGCTCGCGGCGATCCTTTCCTTTCCGAAAGAAAAACTCCACTTTTATTCAAAAGGGGTTATGTGGGGCAAACTGGGGCATCGAAACTGACTTGATTTGTCGTGGATCATCAGTAATGGGCGGAGTTGATCGAAATGGGTGGATTTGCAACTCCTTCCTAGTTTGGGAATCTTCTACGAACTTATCGGGTGCGATCGAGTCCCTTAGGGCTGCCAAAAACTGATTTTTCAAATACTTCCAACCTGAACATTTGAAAAGTAGAGTTTATTGAGCACTGTGAACAAAACTTACAGTCTTTTCCTTTTCAGCTTCTGTGGAGAGACCGTGATCTGATGAAAATGGCTTCATATAAATTTATGTTCGTTTTGGGTGTGTTCGATGTTGTTCAATGTATACCACATTTTGCCACTGGTATATTCACAATAACGCAGTCTGTGGCGCATCCTGATTTGGCAAAGGTTCGTTTGAAACATTTGTTTTCTGGTATCCTACTATACGCTACTTATGGGTTCAAATAAGCAAGTAAACATAAATGAGAATACTTAAACAACAGCTGATGTGTTTGGGTTTGATTATGAGTAGTTAAGGAAAGCTCTAGGCTTGACTCTTACCCATTCTTTCTTTCGCATGGAATCAAATTCAGAGAAAACCAGAACAAAGTTCAGGTTAGTGGGCGGAGTTTGGACAGGGGGCGGGTCGCGTGCGTACATATGATGTTCGCTTCCGAATAGCACATTCATCTCTTGGAATTAGATGGGTGTGGAACCAAAAATGTGGGTAGTATAACTAGCAATGTATTTGAACTATAAGTGGCCGGTTTGAGGGACTTTGTAGGGAATGTTCAATGCCCGAAATGACTTACTACAGCCCATGAATCCAGATAGCGTATATTTCAGGCGATGGGTGTATTGGCAACACCAGCCTATGTTGCCTATACCGTCCTTACCCTTGTGCTATCATTCAATCGATTCATACAGATCTATTCGCCTCCACTTGATGCCATTCTATTCAGTGAAAAAGCTGTCATAGTAAGATTTGAGAACAATCCTTCCACTTATTTTCCCCTCGAATCCAATTTTATTTGCGCTTTTAGAATTGGATCGCATTCAGCATGATAATCTGGTTACTGTTCGCCAGCGCTTTGTCGTCCCCGTGGGCAACAATCCGTTATTTTCCTGATCAGTGAGTTCGAATGTCCCAGAATCAACTTTTTTTTGTTTTCCACTAATGCCCTCCTATAATATTATTTTATTTGATTTGATTTGCTGAAAGCTAGACAGCTCTCGATAATTTAATGGATTAGAGAGGGGCGCAAAGGAATTCACCGGTGCTAGTTCAAAGATGAACTTGATGCTGGAGGTGCGGTCCACCACCTGAGCTTGTGATACTTACATACTGAAACTTAATTAAGGGCAGAGTTCACTATAAAAATGGTTATTGAGGTTTCTTCCTAGAAGGGGCCTATGATTCTCAAAGGCAAAGGTATAGCCTAAAAAACGCTGTTGGATCGAAAAAAGTCAAGATAGGGCGTAATAGGGCCCCCAAAAACCGGCTCAGCCTACGTACCCACCCAGAGCGGACGAGTTGTTAAGTGTTGTACCAAGTACCTTTTACATGCAGTTTTTTCGTAATATTCTCGTTCACCCCCTCTTTTTTTAACCCTTCATTTTTTTGAATAAGCCAATTTTTACGTTTTCTTCGTCACTTTTGCCCTATCTAAATCTTAATAGATCCTCAAAATTATCGTGAACTGTGCCTCTTATCTACTCATTAAAGTCTCGACTAAACTAACAACTTGATAACAAGGGGTAACTACCTCCATCCCAAACGTCAAAAGCACTGAGGTGGAAGGGTTATCAGAAGGCTTCGTCTTCTGAATGAAACCAACTCTGAACTGGATTTCTGACTGCGGTACTCCTAATATTTAACTACTTCCTTATCCGAGCAACCTTGAAGACTTTCCCGGTCTAACCTTCTCAAATTCACACCCTATTATCCAGACGACCCTCCTATTGTTCAGGTATTCATGGGATTACAACTATGGCCTCAAATTTTCGTGGATAGTCCAGAAAGTGGAAATGATCATCGAATTGAGCACTATACTGATCTCAGCGGTGTTTTACATTCTAGTCATCATCGCCCTTTACCGTACCGTAAGTATCAACCACTTTCTACCACGTACTTTGCTATATACAGTAATATTCTTCTTTTTTAGCGAAGACGTTTCATGTCCAACTCAAATAGTCGTGCTGAAATGAAAGTACTCATACAAGCGCTCGTCATCACTGCCTATTGCACAATACTTAATTTCTTATGGCATAATGCACAGGTGAATATATTGTTAGTAAACAAGCTATCAAGTATGGTTACTGTGGCGTAAATACATGACGAAAATGGCAGCTATAATGAATTCTCTGCAGCCAAACTATTCATAAGACTCTATTTTGCTTGCAGAGGCGTAAAGAATAAAAGATAGAGTCTTTTGACGTTAATTAATCTTGCTTGAGAGAGTTGCGCCCCGCATTCGACTTCCATTCGAATCGTAATGGCGTTTTGAATCCGCATGTTTCCGATACAACGACTTGTGGTGCCAAGCCGATGTACAAGCCAGGACATTTATCCTCCCAGACGAGTCTGATACCAGTTAAGTGACCCAGGACGGATAGAAGGCTTGGTTGACCTGAGGGGAATACCGATCCGGTATTCAAACTGATGACCATTCGTGTGTGATAGTGCGCCACTTAACACTATAACACATCCGCCCCTACAAAGGCATATGTATACAAATGGAAGTGTTTAGTACATGTAAAGGAATTTCTAAATACATCTGGGTAACATTTTACTCGTTTGTGTCGAAAAATCTGCCAAATTCACTCCGAATTACAGGCAATACTTCCACCGATTATTTGGACTTATATGGCAGTGAACATGATGTGGATCTTGAACAGCGGTGTATATCCGATCATCTACTTAGTTGTAAATCGGTGAGTATATTATATTATTCATAAAAATAGGCTAAATGCTGAAAAAAGTGGGTCTGAAGTGGTAGAGTTGAAGTAGTGCACCAAAAGGTAGGTCCGCGAATTTTTCGCGTGCGGCGAGCACCAAGCTGCGCGGATTTTTCGCGTCACCATTTCTTGATCTTTTGATGCCTAGCCAGGCAATGGGATGGCTTTGATGAGTTCTTCGTGAATTTCAGGGCAATTCGAGACAAAATCCATCCACGACAAGTCAGTGTCCAGGATCATCCAATGACTACTAAGCATCATATAAGTGTGTTATAGAGCTTTAGTTTAACCTACTATTGTTGTAAGTATTGTGAGGCACGGAATTTTCTATCCGTCTCAATTATTTCAGAACTCAACTGTCATCTAATAATTGATGCTATTTTTCAGGGAGTGACGAAAATACGAAATGTAAAATTACGAGAATGCATTTGGATGGTGATCAAAATCTTGGCGATGTCTTCAGAAACAAGACTAAAGTGCAATTTGTCAGCTAGTATAAATTTGTGGAAAAATAACGCTTTAATAAAGCTGGTGTACCTATTTGTGATACACTCCTACACTCCACCTTCAATCAGATACATAGTAATGTATGAGTGGGTACCTGGTCTCAACAGTGACTTGCACAGGCTAGCCCAGATGTGTTTGTCGGTGATCCATCGACCCCAAAGGAATAAAGGCTTGGACAGCTCAGGCAGGTATCAGTCCGGACCTGGTATCGCGAGCATAAATATGTGTGATGCCGGTCCAATTAACTCTACGTAACCCTTCTTAAATTTAAGTAACGTCGTACTTAGAGGATTGCGCCGTGGATTCAAAAGCTTCAGAAGATTGAATCTAATCATAAGAAGGTCCCAAGTTTGACGCACGAATTAATTCAATAAGGCAGAAAAGCGCCCTTGATCGCTCCTAGAACACTCACCACCCATATCTCTCACAAATTCTCTTTTATCGTCAAACCTTCGAAACTCAGAAATTTGCACTTCATTTAAAGAACCCATAAGCAAAATAAACAATACCAGTAAATGAAAACAACAACGGAGGATCAGCAGCATATGAAATTACCAGGAAATGAACAGATTCAAATGTTGAGACGGGGCGGCGATCCATCGTCGCGTAGTCGTCGCCGTTTCAATTGTGGACCACCACCTGCACGAGCTGGTAGCGGTAGCTCCTCATCCAGACAGCACAACGGTTCGTTACTGGAACACCACCTTTTCAAAAAGGCACTATTCTAACTTATGTACCTACAGGGTTGACTTGCTTCATTGATCGCTCAGAAGCGCTTCCGTTAGCGGGTTTTATTTGTTTATTTGTTTGTTTATCTGATCAAACACTTATGCAATACGCTGCATTATACAAGTCACAGGATTTAGAAAGCTTTGTGTAGAAACAATAGTGGAATTTTCCCCTGACGTCCCTGACCCGGTCATTGACATCCCACAACATCCCACAAAAATCCAGGGCTTACTGCCCCTTACACACAAATGGACACGAAAGTTTACCTGAAGTAGGGACACTGAAGCGCTTCAGAAGCAGTGAGGCGCTTCAAAGGATCATAGGCGAAGCAGCCATGTAACAGATCGATGAGATCATCACCGGCGGCAGTGAATACATGACGAAGATTGATTCCGACTTTCTCCCTGAACAGCCCAAGAGCTTTCGAAGATGAACTATGAGGTTCAATATCAATTGACTGACTTGACAGCAATATAATCCGATAGGTTTTTCATCGCTGGCCAATCCTCAACAGTAGGTGATCCAAGTACGTGTGTAATTTTCACTAACTGATCCAGATCAGACTCTCCAGGGAACAGTGGTACCTGCAAGGATGATTGTTCAAATCCCCATCAGAAATTAGTTGCGGTCAAACCTCACAGAACTACACGGTGCTCTTCTTACGTCGTGACGTTGGTTCCATTAAGAGAAACCAAACAAACGAGATTTCATGTCACATAAAGGGTTTCAGCGCGACCACCAAATGGATTTCATCTGATTGGTATTTTGGCTTCCAGTATTTAACTATTTACACTGATTCATTACGAAATAGCTTTTCTGACTGAGTGAAACAGTGAGCCGCCTGTGAAAGTGGTACAATTCGGCTCCAATTAAGGTAAAAGTCAGGATAGCTCACTCGCTTTCCACCGGGACTAGTACAATGGAAAACAGGGTAACTATGAAGGACAGGGGCTTGGGCATAATATCCCTACAGTTGTGCAACCAGTAGGTAAGGTGACTGTAAAGAGTTATGTCTGCATAAGAAATATAAATAAATTACAATAGGGTCCAACGGATATTTTCGAGTGAACTTGAATTGATTAATCATCCAATATAACTTCAACCGAAGTTCCAAATCTGAATGACTCTCATACTGTTAAGAATCTCTACACTGGTCTCCTTATCACAGCAGTCGTCCCTACGCCCATATGGGAATTACAGTTCGTTAGAAACTCAGACAGGGATTTCATCTCTTTTGTTACAACGATATACTACAGACACGAAATGGAAACCTACCCTAAGAAGTAGCTCGGCAATGATGCATCCGATCGCCCACATGTCCACACCCGTTCCATACGCTCTAGCTCCCCAGATGAGCTCTGGAGCACGATACCAACGAGTGACCACCTGAACGAGTGAATAAAGAGCGATCGCCACTACCTACAACTAGCATGGCCCTCTTCGGCTTCAGGAAAGAACTACAATGACGTCGAGCTTGGCGGACCAGAGCGCATGCCCCACTGCACATCATCGGCATCAGAGGATCTGTTCATGAACTATGCTCAGCGAGTTTGTTACACTCCCCCGGTGCACCCGAACCTCAGACCCAATTTCTCATTCTTACCTGATGAGTGTAGACTTTATTTGGGGATCCAAAAAATCGAGCTAAACCAAAATCAGCCAATTTTATCCTTCCGGCACTGTTCATTAGCAAGTTATTCGGCTTCAAATCCTGAACGATTGCATTAATGAAATTTGATCAATTGGAAAGTTGAAGTTGAACAGCAGGCTGACTCACCCTATGAAGAATCCAGTGAGCATGAAGAAATTCCAAGCCTAGTAGAGTTTGCATCGCCATATTTTTGATGTGTGGAGGCATTAGAATAATGTCGCGGTCCTTGACAACGTGCTGAACGAGGAACAGGACCGATCATTGAAGGAAAGCTATTATACCGAACTGGTTGCTTCCAGAAGTACCTCTAGATCTGTTTCCATAAAATCGAACACTAACTGGATGTTGGTCCGGGATCCAATCACGTCACGTAACTGAAAAACGAAACATTTCCTCAGCGAAAGGGGCATAGCGAGAAGATGATAAAAAATTGATTTTGAGCGAGATGAAGAGGCAGAAAAAAGTGGCTTGCTACACATAACGAGCTAGTATGAGATTTTTCCTCAATTTGCAATCCCAAAAAAGGGGAACGAATCATCTTCAACAAGTCATCCCTTCCCTATTTTGTTTGTGCTTGAGTTTTCTTTGTTTGTTTACACTTATTGCATACTTTCCTGGTTTAACTCGCTGAATATAGTTCTTAAAGTGTAATGAATCAAAAAGCGAGTAGAGGATCGTAAAAAGGAACGGCTACTTCCTGATATAAGCTACCGTATAAGCAGTAGCACCGGTCAATGCATCCCTCCAGAGCTATAAGTACAAATAAAAGAAAATGAGCTTAGTTTTTCTTGTTTCTCTGGAGTAATTGAATGATAGGTACCTACTGGATGTTGCATACCTACTCAAGCACCCCCCCCCCCCCCCGTATCCATACTCAGTACTTTCCGCTTGTTGTTTGAGGGCAAAAGCAAGAAAAGCTTCATGCGGCGACACATTTCACCCTAAGTGGGGCCGACATGCAGGGCCGATATGCAAAAGCAGCAAGTGGATGGCAAAGCAATTAGACAGTCTATTTCAGCGTTTTTTATGCTGCTCCGCTTTGCACCTATTCCATACAGAACATACTTTTTTCTGACCAGCTAGCTCTGGCATAGCTCAAGAAATTCTTAAATTGAGGTCACAAATAGCTCAGATTTCCAATTTTTCGAACCCAATTTCAATCAAATGATTATAGAACTTACTCCTATAATGTTATCATGATGAATCTCTTGTAAGAGTTTGATTTCACGAAGTGCTGTTCTGTTGATGCCATCTTTTGCTTCAGCTCTCGAACCCAGCTTGATCTGGAAAATTGTCACTTTTGATGAATGCTAAGTCTAGCCCTTTGGATCAGCACAGAGCTGAATTTCGCGTCTATTATTCTGGTCAGAAAACTTGCCGAATAAAGCCCATGTGGATCTCCCAGAGATGGTTCATGAAATTAACTCGGCCCATCCCTTCAGAGGGATACTCCCTGAATAGGATTCTATGTTAAGGACGAAACTCAATTTTTTGCGCAAGGGAATAATGACTACGATTAGCTCACCTGCAAACCCCAACCCAGACAAGGGCTATTATAATATCGGTAACTCTATGGTTTCCAAGAAGCGGAAGCGACCCAACGACCTGCTTCTTGCCATTCCTATTTCCCTATGCTAATTTTCTTGGTGTCCAGCCTTATAGCGACCAATGGGCACACCAATCTTGTAATAGCATGATTCAACCTCTATCCCCTCTTAGGAAATTTACTTACCTTCTTGATCGCTACGAAATCTCCGGTCTCCTTGTCCTTTGCCTTATAGACGTTGGCGAACTGGAAAATGTTAAAATCAAGATTTCAATTATATTGCCACTGTCAACGGTTGGGAGAGGACTACGGGTGTAGTGGATCATTTTAGGAATATTTAGGAACCAGCGAGCAATTCTGCGAAGTCACCTAGAGACACCTGCCGATGATGAGCGACAAAAGAACTCCAGGCAAATCGATATCGATTGACGGCCGCACGTACGACCGCATCGCGTTGAAGCGTGACAAGTGTCATTGCAATTGAAACCGACTCCGAAATATAAGGAAAAAATGGAATTTTACTAACCTGCCCTTCTCCCAAATGTTTGATAGTCTCATAGCGTTTTGTTGCCTCTCGACTCATATTTCACACTGAAATAAAGAATCCTTCAGTGATGAGTAGAATTTTACTAAAATCCTTCATTTTCCCCTACAACAAACCGTTCGGCCGGTGAATTAGAATCTTTTGGCCGACCCCCTTCGATTTCCTGGACCAAAGTTCTCTTTAGCATGTGCCGAGTCCAATTTGGCATAATTACTATTTGAAAAACAAGACATTCATCAAGTCTCTTTGAACGACGACGAAACGAGCTTTGACGGTGGTAGGCTATCCATCAGATTCCCTATTCAAGGAAAAAAACTTCAGAACATTCGATTCTTCAACTAACATACTGAGCATTACTGCCATTCACATGCCTTCCAGCTAATTACTATGCTAACTATCTGGCGCCGCTATATGTAGCTACAAATTGCACCTCACGTGCTTGCTAGCAGCTGTAGACCTGCTCTAGTCAGTTACAAAATGGAGCCAACACATTTGATGTTTGCTCGATAGAGTGCGAATGCGTGAACTATCATTTCGAAGCGATTATACTTCTCAGAATCTGCAATTTACACGAGTTCCCAGGGGGTGTAACCTTAGCAACATTTCCCACGCGTCGTCAATCATTACTCTACATCTGTGCTATCCATTCATTACTCATTTATCACTTTTCACTCACGCAATCATTTCTGTCTATCAGTTTACACTTAGAATCATCTTACTCTCAGAAAAACCTCCGCCAACCCCTTGGATTCCGTGTCTGAGCGCTACATCATCACAGACCTTTGATCTCCTAAGTGGGGGGAAGGTTGACTAGACCATCTAAGGCCACACTACCGTGCTTTGAACTTCAGTTGGCTTNCTCATTTATCACTTTTCACTCACGCAATCATTTCTGTCTATCAGTTTACACTTAGAATCATCTTACTCTCAGAAAAACCTCCGCCAACCCCTCGAAGTCCGTGGCTGAGCGCTACATCATCACAGACCTTTGATCTCCTAAGTGGGGGGAAGGTTGACTAGACCATCTAAGGCCACACTACCGTGCTTTGAACTTCAGTTGGCTTATGTAGGTAGAGTGGTCCTGCTCGAGTCACATGGACTTCTGTTGAATGTAGGCAGACTTAAGGTGAGGAGGCCCAGGCAATGGTCAGTCTAGACAGGTACTCGTACAATTTCACAAGGAGTTAATCGGTTGCTAGGTTGTCCAGATGCCTCCGGAACAGGTGTCTACCATAGCATTCTGAGAAAACCAGGGACGACACCAGTACTGAATACGGTGACCAGCTCATAAACGGAGTTGGTTTCCATAGGTCGATGCTGGCTCCACCTAACTAGCCTGCTTATTCATAACTACTCCATAAAAAATAGCTCTTCAAATGGCCAGTGATTCCATTCAGTCCAACTAGCAGCGGCTACACAATCCGACTTTCAATTAGAAAATTGGGCCTTAAAAGTTAGAAACTATCTTACACCGGAACGATACCAACCAGGTATGTCACAGACAATGTCTGTTGCTGGCCTGCTTTGATCAACTGTGATTGAGATAGTGTGAAAGACTGAAGGGTTAGCTGAAAAGGAGGCTATAAGGTCCGGATAATGGGACAAATGAACCCGTACAACCAAAACATATTGGAACCACTTTGAAAAAGGTTCTAGTGAAGTAACCAATGTTCAAAGAACATCTACATAGAATTTCTAAAAACAGTTCTTCGAAGACTTCATTTCACGCGACAATTCAATGCGCGTTGTATAGAAATCACAAATATCAAGCTATAGTCAAAATAAATCTATAGGATAGAGCGAGTAACGCCTGGGATCCCCTTGGGTGGCGGTGATCCATGCAACCGGCCAATTTCACAATTGCAACACTTTGGCGACTGCGGCGGGTCAAACAAAAGGCACAATAACAACGCTCTAGTATTCTCTGAAGAAATGGAAGATGTACGGTAGAATGGATAGACGTAATTCTACATGAAGAAAGAATAACAATAGCACGTATCACAGAAGGAAACAATACTCATTCTTACAGTAGGGAAACTATGTCTCCGCCACCAAACCATCTGGGATAGGCGGATGGGATCACTACTGAGCGCTCGGCTAGAAAGCTCAACTGCTCTAAAAGTCAGATGAACGACAACTATGCGGTAATAAATGGTCACAACCAACTCGAACGAAAGGCCTAACGCAGCCAAATATAAACAGCTGCCAAACAAAAATGATAAACAAAGTACACTGATTACAATAACATTAAAGCCATCGTGTAAGAGACTTATGAACACGCATATACTCATTAATGACTCTTCATCAGGGATAAGGTGGCATAGATCCAAAAATGCCAAAGTCAGAACAGTAAAGTGTTTAGACACAAAAAATATTCATCGACTTTACTCCTTGGCCCCAGATCGAGAATAATTAACTATTAAAGATACAATGTCCCTCTAGTCACACAGCCTTTACCTGCCGAGCGATCTAGCCCTGAGGCCGAGAATAGGCTCTTAATTTATCATTCTGACGACAGATTCGCCCGATTAATTCGCTACCAGCCATTTACAAGCGACTTCAGAAATTGGGGGTACCAATAAGCGCTGTGGTCCAAGGCCCTGGATCTCATTCCCCAAAACTGGAACTAACACTAGTCAACTATGCATAGAACAGTTAGTTCTACTAGAGAAGCTAGCTTTGCCGGTTAAGGTCTGAATGCGTGGCGTATTCCGAAGAGCCTGGTTAGCAGCTTAACCTTTCTTTACTCAGGAAACCCCAAAACCGGGAATGGTGCCAGCTGACTTTAGAATATATGTAGAACACCACACAAATATCTTATTACAGCGGCCTATTTATGCTTCTCAAGAAAATTCCATCTCATACTCATACTAGCCTTGTAAATATTGATTAGGCCCTTCATCACATGCGTAAAATCAATACCTATCGATATATCCGATAGCAGGCTCTATTAGTAGCATGAGAACGCACTAGCGCCTTTGAAAGATACCGCAACCTTGCCGAATTTCTGGCATAGCGTACATGGGAAGGTTGCCAGCTTTGGTGAGTGCGGATTCCGGAAATCGGAACCCGGCTCAACCCCGATGCAGACCCTTTTCGCTGCTTTGCTCAAGATCGACTGAGTGATAAGTAGACTTGACCGTTGAGGAATCATGTCTAGTTCAGATCAGTAGAAACAAAGAAGAATACAACAAAGTACACAACAAATAGACAACATCAAGCGACTATGTCGAGCCGATGCCGCTCGACTTGGGCGCGTCGCTTCTTGACGCCAACAAAGGCGAGCAATTTACATGGCACTAATGCTGGCCGTTGTCAATCGGAAAGCAGCTAATCGATAACCGAATGGACCGGTGAACTCGAATTGTACGGCAATTCAGATGAATCTGTATTTTTTCGATACACAAACACTTGGCCGAGAATAAATACGTCGATCGAGATCTGAAAACATAACCAGTTAGTATCCCTGTGTCCCTGCCGCTCGGCATACTACATATACATAGACGCGCGCGGTTGCGTCGCGGTTGGACACGCGCTACAGACCGCAACGCAACAGCTCGTCATCTGACTTCAAGTGAAGAATTGAACCATGCTAACCTGTAATATAGCGCACACCCAAAACTGGACAGGACTACCAGTAGCAACGAAGTATCCCGTTTTCGCGAGATCTCCACAAAGCCACGCTAATACCATGGGTATGCTGTAAAAAATCAATATGAAAATGCAATTCATAATTTTACGTTATATTTTGAACATTAGGAGAAAAGAGGCAAGCTGCTTACACTACTTGCTGCCCTTTTGGTTATGGTTGTAATACGTGGCAATCAAGCGCGCGGTCGCGAAGCGGCAAACCCAATACGTATCAAGAAATCATTGTGAGTAAAGCATTGCGATTGTCAAGACGCTCTAGAGATGCCTTCTTAGCTTGACTGTCGCGAAATGAACGACTCTTACCAACAATTTAGCTTCTTTCAGTCCCACAACCAAGTCATCACTAGCATTCACCCGTTGCCGTTTCCTATCATCGCAACAGGCAAGATTACGACCAAGCCCACAATTTCCAATACTTTTTATTCCGTTGCCCTTTCTGGGCCCTTCTATTTCGCTCAGAATTATATTACCTTTTTGTGCATGAGTTTCGAAAGTGCGAGATAATGAAAGTAGTCAAAAACGTAGTAAATCGACAATGGCTACCACTTTTCCACTGCAGACGACATTGCCGTCCACCCCTAGTCAATCGTTTCACTACGCTAATTTCCCGAGTTGTTTTTTCTGCTTCCATTTTAATTATGGCTAGCTAATGCACTTACTAGGGGACACAAAAGCCTGACAAAATCCCTATCATTTAGGCTTGAGGACGTGGGTAATTTCTGTTTTTACACCCTGTCATTTTTGAAGTGTCGGAGGTACAGCGAACGGATTGTTATTGGAATTACGAAGCGAGTAAAGTGCTAAGAATTCAACAAAGTCGTTTTTCTTGATTGCGCTATGCACCCACCATTCATGCAGTCAGGTATATACTGTGCTTGTGAGCATACTCGACTTAAACAACTGCTTGTAGGAACCAGAACCTAAAGGCCCCTGAGTTAATCACGGGAGACTATTTTTACTAACCCCACTATCGATCGCGACATCCGTGTCTAACGCAACGCGTCTGCGACGCATGCCTGCATGGCCCAACACTGTACTCCCTTTGTAAAATCAACCATATCATTTCTGATTAAGTTTGAGAAACCAGGGATTCCCTCACAATTAAGACTGAAAAGCCATGATGACTATGGAGTAAAACAAGAAATATATAGGAATTATAGCAGGAGTTTAGTGAACACCGAATGGATCGAATTCTATACCTCATCCCTTGCGTGGACTTTCGTTGCCAATTCCGAATTAATTGTGGAGCTCCTAAGCTGGCTTCGACTAATAAAGAAACCATACCGAGCGTTTCCACATACCATTGAAACTGAAAAAAGCTCTTCTATAGGTTTCGACTCATAAGGAAGAAGTAATTTATTTAAATGGTTACCCGTAATAAGAGCACGGTGACCATAGACCAGAACGTGGTGAATACGGTCAATGTGATCAGAAAACTCGCCAAATCATGCCATGCCCAAAATGATCCCAGAAAATCACCTCCTGAAAATGAAATTCTGAGTAATCTGCTCCTCTTTACGTCAGCTTCAAGTTCTTTTTCAATGTAACTTCGTCATGTTAGCTAATTTTGTCAGCACTGCGGCACTTTCAGTGGCTTTATGTATAACAATTCAATCAACGGCTTAACGTTTCGATGTGAGCGCTCTTCGCAGAAATCTGAACTTTTTTTCGAGATAAGGAAATGAACATCATTCTCCTCCCTCTTTCCCTTCCTCCTCCCTCTTCCAGAAAAACCTTCACCCACAAGTCACTTTTGCAATTTCAATGAAGCATTCGGAACTCAATAAAGCCTCTTAGAGTTCCTAAGTTGCCATAACCTCAGTTTATTCGTTTATTTATGAATATTCTCAAGAAATTTAAGGGTGAAAATTTCGTTAATAGTGATGTGACGACGTGGTCGCCTTCCTCACTATACGATTGTGTTGCCAGAATGAATTTTGAACCCTACCCTCATAAGCACTCCATCATTATAGCACTTTTCACGACTTGTTCGGAACTCTACAGGAATCTTTTTCTCACTCCGAATACCTCGTGTGAGCTTTAGTTAGTGGGACACATCTAGAGTTAGCTTGCAAGATGGTGCTTTCCTGATAAACATTTCCAGCGAAAACAGCAAGTGACAATTAGTCTACTTTCTGCAGCTTTACCTTAGTATTAAACAACAAGTAATTGTGCCACTTGTCCAAACTGAAAGATAGGTAATTTCGTGCAGATTAGTGTTATTCACTACGTGGGGTAGGGGCATGTGGATCAATATATATCGGAGTGACGAAAAAACAGCTACCTTACTGATGGAGTGAGGCAATAGTTAGCTAATACGAGGCACCTGTGGGAACCTAATGACACACTTGACCGGCGGAAATTCATAAATAAAAGAACTCCGAGGTGAAGTGCACGAAGTTAGCTTGGGAGGTGGGCATCTCAACAAGAATGCCATTGAAGGCGGTCAGGATTCTTAGAAGATACTTCAAAATAAAAATAGATGAGTGTCTCTCCACAACCAACAGCTCTCTACAACCGACACCACATTCGAACTGTAGTTCAATAGCACCATTACGTATAGCCTGATTCACTGCTGATACCAATCTGTGGGTGACAGCGGTCTGTGCCTCGTTCCCCTGCTGAGTACGCTTCTCAAAATGTGAAAGTCCTGTAATGAGTTCCAAACCCACTAATGGCATCAAGTGGAACAAACTGAGCACACCATCAGAATTCAGTATTTGATCTCAGAGCACGTTTGGGTCCCTTGAGGGAAACGATCTCTAGGATGCCCCGTTGAAATTGTTTAATTGCTCACCCAAAACCCCAAAGGTACAAGAATATAGAAGACCTTAACAGAAGATCTTCCACTACATCCACTAGTGTTCCACCGTAAAGCGTTCCTTGGGAGAGCATAACCCAATAGGGCAGCATGCAAAGGCTCATAAATGACGGAAGGGCATTCATCTTTCTTGTTCACTAGGTAATTGCTCTTAATTTCTGAAATAATTCTCTTTCTAGTCGTGTAAATAATTGATCCTCTAAAACTGCCATGTTTCTGAGTTTTGGTTCTTCGAGCGCTCTACTTAGGCTACCATACCTCAATCTTCCAAGTGTTGGTTACAGTTAGGAGCCTCGATTGGTACGTAAAGTGGCGAGACAACTAGCAAAGAAGTAGTGCACAATGAAAGAAGCTGAGAATCGTCACAACCAGTGAGCTGACTAGGTTTTCTCTCGTACATCTGTCATTTGCGCCTATACTCCTCCTGTCTCTCTGTCTCCTTCCCAAAGTTGGAAATTGAAGGAGTGCGTTGTATCTTCTGTAATCATAACTCTGTGAGAAAACCGGTTAATGATTCACGTCAGTGTGTGACAGTGGACCTTTCCCATTCACAAGGGAGCATTCATCAAGAAACCCATATCAGTTATTCTTTCAAAATGCTCTCTGTAGTCATAAATGTGGGAGACACCCTTTCATGAATTCCGCGCCCATGTAGGAACACGTATAGGATCCCTACTATTCGCAAAGAAACCCCAGGAAGAAGTTTCCTTCAGAACTCAAGGAAGAATCTTCAGAATTGGTCCTTAGAGATCCTTATCTCGAAAAACAGACTTTGAGGAGGATAATTTTGTCCGAATGTCAAGCCGATGAATAAATTGTGCCAAATAAAAGCTTGAAAACCTTACAAGATCGACAAAAAAACCTAATAATTTTGTTAATATTGCCTTCACCGAGTACAAGGCTCCTTTTTATAGCTTAAAGTGATTCCCCTATCATTCCTATTTGAGCGGCACACTTCCTTTTTTCTTTTGTGTGGGTAGTTCATTACTAGCCTCTTCTAATTAGAACAACTAAGTCATTTACGAGTGTTTTACCACCGTCAATCACTTAATCGCTTTCCTAAGTACATATAAGGGAAAAGCACGAGTGTACATGGCCGTGTCCAGAAAATCTTTTTCGTATAGCGATAGCGATGGCTTTCGCTTCCATTAACGGAATCTATAAAAATCTATTAATTCTCGATTTCAATTCCCTTGATTAAAACCTGAAATCGCTCAATAAATATTAAAAGACAATTAAGGACGCTGAGCGGCGAACTGAATCCGGTTAACTCTATTTCTTAGAACCGATATGTAGTTCGGAATTAATTAGGCAAACCTAAACAAAATAATCGGAGAATTCGGAATCGATACATGTAAGTATAGCTTAGCTCCTCAAAAGGAAAGTACAATCACCGAAAAAATACACAAAAGCATGAAGCTTTCCAAAGAGAGGTAGATCGATTCCAGGCACTTATTGTTTTTTTGTCTTTTAAGCTTCCAGTCTGTCTGCGAAACGAAATTATCCCAAAATAAACATTCCCAGAAATCTTAGCAGATGAAAACCGAACTCTCTGTTGCTTCTTCAAAAAAAGGGGTCTTCAATATCCTCATATCCTTCTCATGAGCCAGGATAAGCACGCAATCTGCACTACCGCCAGAATAAATGACTTTTATCATCAAAAAACTGAAAGGCATGCGATAATGCAAGCCATTTTTAGCCTAATGATTCAAAAAAAANAAAAAAAATGTATAAAAAGGTGTTCCCGAGTATTCCTCCCTTTAATGAAACTTATGCAAAAAAAAGACCGAGCCGCGCTGACAGCAGCTCTTTTCAATTCGCAGCTTGACCTACTGTCACCTATCCCTTGAATAGAGCCATGTTTTTCTATGAAACCCTTCCTTCTGCAATGACATCTTCTCCTCGATGTGGGAGGGAACAGCCAAAGGCATGGAAACATGCGAATGCGCACTATTTCTATACTGCCTTCAGGGACACCAAAAAAATCATAGTCTTTGTATGTCATTGTTGAACGGAAAACGCAAAAAACGTATACGAAAGTCGACAATATTAGAATTGACTGCACAATAGGTTTACTGTAACCGAATTCGACCAATTTGTTCTCTTGGCTCCATTTATCACCTCAAACAACTCCTGCCTTGAATGTTAGAAATATGTAGTTACACCAATAGTAATAGAGTGATAGGTTTCCTACAGCTACGCTATTAACTTGAATTCCACTCGAAATCTGAGATCAACCTTGAACTGTTCTGAATATACGAGTCCACCCGCACAGGCTCACCTCTCCTACAAACAATCTTTTCATAACCGACTGATCTGGATCGAATGTTTACCAGGCCTGAGTAGGGATCGCAACCATTGGATTTCTCTACCCCACAGACTTTTTTGGCTATATCTGCACTTGTTTCAAGCCAGATAGTAAACATTTCAACACTTGGAAGCCTTGAAGTGACAGCAGGAAGAAAACTTCGGGGAGATATTGACGAATATGAGAAGACAGCATTGGCAATTCAGTTGGTAAAGGCAAGATGACGAATTCCAGGGAGCAATAGAATCCTGGGCTGTTACATAGCTAATGCAGTTTTTCCCCAGCTGAAATTTCCCCTATTCGTAAGGAATCTATTAGTACCCTCCAAAAAGATTCACTTCAAGATAATCACGGTATAGGTTGAACGTCAAGCTATTCCACTAATTTCAAGCTTTTGCAGTAAAGCGAGGATTCGACGAAAATTAAAGTAGTTTGCAACTACTTAAGTCATAGGAAGAAATCAAACCATGATTGACTGGCACCTCTAAACGTCTAACTGCTCACAATCAGTTAACCAACAAACCCGTGGTTTTTTTTGTCGAAAATTGGTTTTTCCGTTAGAGTTTGGAGAAATTGCGATTTTTTCAAACCTGATGTTTCTTTCCAATTTCAGTCGGAGGCTCTTTTTTACATTGAATTTACGATTCCATATTTTGACTAGAAGAATCACGTGATGGGTTCTACAATTGTCATAAACGATGACATCACTTAAAAACTTATTTTTCACTAAATGCTGACAAATTCAATAAATAATATAATCTTCTATCTTTTTTTCATTTCAGGCCTTCCCCATGCCTCTACAGTTTTCGAATGTCTTGAGGCGAAAGCCCTCTGATCTGTCGACAAAGTTGAGCGGGCGTCCCTACAGGGGAACCGCTTTCGTAGGAAAAAACGGGGTTTGTTGGGCAATCTGACTGTTTAGAAGACGTCGTGAGAAAGTCGAGTGTACATCACTGATTGACTTCTCACGATGGAGAATAAATCTAAAATAGTAACCGGTTTGGCTTGTTTTCGTCGACTTAACCTTCCATTTTGTAAGCCTCAGATTCAAACTAAATCATAATTATACTTGAAGCAGAATATATCATCTTTGGGTAATATATAAATACCTCTCGATGAACATTCGATAAGATCTAAAATTATACAACCCTTTCAGGCAAAAGTCCAGAAAAGACAGAACTCATGTAGGAGCCGGTATAACAAGGAGTTCTGCCCCTGCAAGGCGTTGGTCTCATAAGAGCATGATTATGTTCTTAGGCCCATAATATTGCCCTCAAAGAGTTCGGAACTTCTTTGTACTCGTCATTCACAGGCATTTTAGTCTTTAATGGCAAAGAGGGCTACGGCGATGATTACCTTGCTGGCAATTACTGGGCCGATCTTTGGGCTTTGAAACAACGACAGACGTTCACGTTCAATCTTTCTCCATTGCTTCATGGGACACTCAAAGCCTTGTGTTTCTTTTCTACCAATGTTTGTGTGTGTGCATGTTTCATTTGTTTCCGTTTCTGCCCTTTATCGACAATATGAGAACTGAGCCCGAGATTATCTTTTCTAAATAGAAAGTGCGTGGCATACTCCACCAGAAGAGTCTACTGAGAAGGAAAGTACTTTAGCTAACTGAATCCTCTGCTTTCTCAACGACCGAATAGAGCGCTTAAAATTGACTATTTTTGTGGGCGTATTTTCAGAAGCATTCCACTCCAAACTACAAATGTAGAAGCTTTTGAATGACACCACTCAGCTGTCCTCGAGAACGGAAGGCTAGACCGGGACTGGGAGTTGCTGGCATTCGACCCTTCCGGATACACTCAAGTTGAAGCGCTGTCTATAGTCATTACTCCAATACTGCCGGGAACTAATCTGGATGGATAATGCCATTTTTCGGAACAAGGTAGCCGATTAGGCTAGTCCCGTCATGAAAACAAAACGAGTAGACTTCCGATGAGCTTTCCAACTACCTTTCAGAGACTTTGGAGCGCTCACAGTTCGATGACCACTTCGATCTTAAGAACATACGCATCGTCTTGAAGACAACTCAATCAACGCTAACGAATCACTGTTGACAAGGTGACTGCTGGGATGGCGTGCACCTCGTGAGAGCCGAGATGTGGAATGCTGTGCCAAATCAGCAAAGCTGTCACCCAACTAGGTGACTCTCGGGTGTGTGTGCCTTAGTGTGATTGCATGTACAGAATCTGTACAGCCCAGTTAATTTTTATTTGGAAACAACCAGGCAACCCAACAGCAAATCTTCAAAGATGTGCCCAATGTTCGAGGAGAGCAAAGAACAACGACAATAAAGTTTTTCGGGGACATTCTAAATCTCATCCACCCGTCTCGAAGCGCGCGTGACGATCTTTTAACCTCTGCACGTATTCAGCCTCCTCTTCTCCTCTCAGGTCCCGCCCAATCTCCGTTGTGGCGCTCACATCGCACACCAAGCTCGGCAATGTCTTCTTTAGTAACTCCGGTTTATTTTGAATCACTCCTGATCTCAGATTTACTTTCAGAAGCCTATTTGTAGAAATCAATCGATATTTCCGAACTATAAGCAACTTCCTCCTATTCCTTGAGCCAACTTCCCTGAGCAATCCTTTCCAGATTCCTCAACTGTAATCATTTACAGAGTGGGACCAACCAATGCTAGATCCGGGGCTCGATTTGGGACCCGACCAGTACAACATATCAGAAGACTGTCGTGTGCAGGTAAACATTGACTGGATGACGTCATGACAATTGAGTGCCAGCAATTTATTCCAGCTACGTCGATTGGCTGAATACGGTGGACCTCAGCCACTGCCTTTACCAACTGCTGTGATTATTGTTTGTTGTATTCCAATGGTTATTATTATTCTGTTGACTATATTCGGTAACCTGCTCGTTCTATTCTTCAAAGCTCGTGTTGGTCGAACAAATACTACGCTTCTTGTGTGGAATCTTGGCCTTACTGATTTCCTTGTTGGCCTTATTGTTTTACCACTTGGTGCATTTCATCTTGCCTATCGAAAATGGATATTTGGACGGTTTATGTGCAGAGTTTGGGTGGCTGCTGATGTCACTTTCTGCACTTGTTCAGTGGTAAGCTTACTCTCAAGTATCATCTCATTTATAAGATTTTCGAAGGATTTTTTGAACTCGCTTCACTGCACCCCTTCCCTTGTAAGCTTATTTCCATTTATCATTACATTTACTGAGATTCAAGACGGTTCGTAGGGCCTTCTTTACCGCAATTGTTCCTTAGTAGGAATATTCCTTATTACAACTACATATATTAGATTTCCGGGAATTTCCAGTGATTTCTATGGCTCCACCTTGACATTCTTTTGGAAGACCTATGACTCTGAGGGTTTCCATAGTGTTCAGTGCACCATAGTTAAAGATTTCATCCAGTGTTTCTAAAAAAGCTCAAACTTTCCTGAAAAGCGAAAGCCAATACGCCAAGGTGGAAAGCTGCACAGTTAGTTTTCTTGGGAAAGCTCTTATTTTGGGAATCGACTCACTTACAACATCCAAAAAGAAAGGCCTATTGATTATCGTACCCCTACCGCGTTTGCCGTCATCTGCTTGAGATTTTTATGGGTGAAGATAGGATGAATGTGATATGGGTGCTGACCGATGTCCATGAAATAATCATCAATGTAGAAAACTCCGGGGTGAACCTAGCGCTGTAGCTAATTGTACAGCA